ACAGATGGCTTTTTTGCCTATCCTTCATCTCACATTACCATTACCTTTATTGCGTAACGAGTCATTTAAAATGGTTAGATATCCAGAGCAAATATGCTGGAAAAAGTCGGCTCTGTTCCAGTGTCCCCCCTTTCAAAATACCGAGTTTTATTTTTGTTTTACGTGTTATTACGGCTAAATGCATGATGTCACGTTGTAAAGTATGAAGAACAAATCTGTTCAGAATTGTCACGAAAAGAGCCAAAAAGTCTAAATAGTCATCTATTACATCAAGTTTCAGAAATCTGGTTTCACTCGTTTGAAAATTTTTGTAGAAAGCGATTACTTGGGTACACTGACAAAAGCACACGATGTTTCATCCGTATTCCAGTATTTGCAAAACAATCGGTAGGTGTTTGGGCTCTTTTACACTTAACCCGACATTCGAATTCAACTTTGAAAAACTACTTTAACATTGTCTTTATGCAATGACACTTGGCATGGTGAACAAAATGACAATTGTGAACAGATTTGTTTTTCATGCTTTACTGCATAACCTTATGCGTTTAGCCATAATTACATGTAAAAATTGCAAAATTGAAAATTTGAAAGGTGGGGGATTGGAAAAGAGCTGGTGCTTGTTAAAACAAGTTTCCGAGCATTGTATTTAAATACTGGTTTTTTTTTCAGTCAAACTTCCATGGAAAAGTGCTGATTTTGTAAGAGCACAGGCGCAGATTCTAGGGCGTTAGACTCTTAATCTCGAGGTTGGGATTCGATTCTTGCTCATGGCGAAAGTTATTCTTCTAGGCATGTTTTTGCGTCTATGTTTCATTTTTTTTAGAGCCACATTTAAGAGCTTGTGTTTTCTAAGTGCAGCCTTGCCAGTGTGATAGAAACCGTGTTAAGAAGTGTAGTAGTAAAAATGCCGGCTCTTTTCCAGTTTACCCCCCCCCTTTCATTTTTTCTGAAATTCATTACATGAAAGTCTTTTTAAAATAATTTTTGTTATAAACTGCATTAAAACGTGTCAGCGTGAACAGCTGAACAAATTTTAACAACATTTCCAACATGAAAATTGCCGTGTGAACAATTTTTGAATATCTCTTTTTGTAATTTAACAAAGGGGGGGGGGGGTAAACTGGAAAAGAGCCAAAATGCCTTTACTTCCAGGTAAAATATAATCATTTCAGCATTAGAACAGCTGTAAATGTATAAGTTTAGTGTTCAAGCTCAATACCAATCGCATATTAGTTGAATAAATAAGTTATAAAAATCTGCTTTTTTCTACTGGCTTTTTTGAGATTGACCCAATAGACAGGACTTAATTGGTTTCGGGTGACTGTGTTTAGAACCATATTTATTTCGGTCCTTGAAAAATTTCGAGTACGACAATTTGGTGTGAGTGGTTTTATTAGGTGTTAATTATTCATCATTTTTAGATAGCTTCTTTTTGCTCCAATTGGCCCCCACCTCACATAAGCATCAATGTTATGGTGTAACGAGAGAGTTTATAAGGTTAAATATGAATACCATATGTGTTTGTCATGACCTAATTAGTTCGCGTGCCAATTATGTAACATTCGGATGAGGTGAACAAAATTTTACTTGTAAAAATTTGAAGGTGGAATGAAAGGGAAAAAGAGCCAGTCACTTCAGTATCATTAGCTCAATGGAAGCCAATTTCTGCTCTGATTACGAAAGTGCATATGAGGCGAAAAAAACTTGAACGACTTTTTTCAGAATTCCCATATGAATAAAAAAAATTAATGATCCAGTTTTCTCAAATTAATTAGCTTATCTAAAAATTTCAAAAAGAAAGTATTCATAAATATTAAAGAGCTTAAGCCAATAAATTTAACTTTTTGGTAACAAAAATTGAAAGAGTTTCAAATTTATCTACTCATTTTTTCAGTCTCCCAGAGTTTATTGAGACTTTTCCAACTGTCTCTCGGCTATTTTATAGAAAAAATACACAAAAATTACTTGAACTTCAAATAGCTTAAAATTAAAATGGAAAAAAAAACATCGTTTTTGGCTCTGTCTTGTCATAGCGGCAACTAGTTTTAGACCTCCATCGTATTAAAATCAAAGTGATAGGAGTTATAATTTTGGTCTCACTAGGCTATTATTTGAAAAAAACCCGTTATTTTTGGCTTTCCTTGTTCGTTGAATCTTTACCAACTCTGCTAGCTATGTTCATGTTTTTTTTGACGTTTTGAATTTTCGCTAATTATTAAGAGTAATGAACAAAGTTAAGACGCTTTTATAGATCTTGGTCATTTTTTATTTTGTTCAGAAAAAAGTCTTTCATATGCTCGAATAACTACAGATGTGCGTTCATACATTCCTGTTTGATTTATTAAACAGGTATTATGAAAACGTTTTTTTTTTTCAGATGAGATCTGGTTTTTTTTTTTTTTTTTTTATTATTATTTTTTTTGAGACGCTTTTTCGAAAAATTCGCTTTCCCAAAAAACTACCAGTCAGATTCTAATAAAAGTGGTACCAATGGATTCAGTAGCGTTTCACCTACCTGCCTGCATGAAATTTAGGGCAATTTTTACCCTACCCCACCCCCTACGGTCTTAGAAAAGCTTCACAACTCGGTACTTTTTTCACTTTTTGCCCATTTTTTCGGAAATTTTCGATTTCCTCAAAAACTACCCGTATAGATTTGGGATTAAGGGTTTAATCGATAGACCAGGTTGTAGGAAACTCCCATGCACAAGCGGCTGGTCCCTAATTTGCTTAGGGGAAGAGCTATAGACTTAGGAAAAGTCACTTTTTTGATTTTTTTGCCTATTTTTTCGGAAATTATCGATTTCCTCAAAAACTACCCATCCAGATTTGGAATTAAGGGTTTAATCGATAGACCAGGTTGTAGGAAACTCCCCCGCACAAGCGACTGGTCCTTAACTTGCCTAGGGGAAGAGCTATAGACTTAGGAAAAGTCACTTTTTTGGCCTTTTTTCAAATCTTTCCGATTTCCTCAAAAACTACCCGTCCAGATTTGGGATTAAGGGTTTAATCGATAGACCAGGTTGTAGGAACCCTCCCTACACAAACGGCTTGTCCCTAATTTGTCTAGGGGAAGAGCTATACACTTAGGAATAGTCAATTTTTCGTTTTTTAGGCCATTTTTCCAAACTTTTTCGATTTCTTCAAAAACTACCCATCCAGATTTGGGATTAAGGGTTTAGTCGATAGACCAGGTTGTAGGAAACTCCCCTGCCCAAGCGGCTGGTCCCTAATTTGCTTAGGGGAAGAGCTATAGACTTAGGAAAAGTCACTTTTTTGATTTTTTTGCCTATTTTTTCGGAAATTATCGATTTCCTCAAAAACTACCCATCCAGATTTGGAATTAAGGGTTTAATCGATAGACCAGGTTGTAGGAAACTCCCCCGCACAAGCGGCTGGTCCTTAACTTGCCTAGGGGAAGAGCTATAGACTTAGGAAAAGTCACTTTTTTGACTTTTTTGGCCTTTTTTCAAATCTTTCTGATTTCCTCAAAAACTACCCGTCCAGATTTGGGATTAAGGGTTTAATCGATAGACCAGGTTGTAGGAACCCCCCCTACACAAACGGCTCGTCCCTAATTTATCTAGGGGAAGAGCTATACACTTAGGAATAGTCAATTTTTCGGTTTTTAGGCCATTTTTTCAAACTTTTTCGATTTCTTCAAAAACTACCCATCCAGATTTGCATAATGAATGCATAAGCTTCTCTTTCACTTTTTTTGCGTAGGAAGGGCGCTATCGACTTGAGAAACCTGAAATTTTAAAACATTTTTAAAATAATCAATATTAAAATAATCAAACAGGTCTCTCCAGCTTTCAGCTGGGCCCCTAGTATTAATGCATTCAGATTTTGAGTTCAATTTAAATTACTTGGCTGCGAGTTAGGTTAAGTTCACTCTCCAAATAAAGCTTAGGAATGGCGGAAAAATGTGAACGGCTTCTAGTTTTGAAAACAGAACTTTATATTGTAGATTTCCCAGCATAAAAACCTATTGATGCAGGTTTCTCAAATTGGATTACTTTTATTGAAAAAGCATCAATCATAAATGGTTTTTGAAATTCAAAGAGCTCTAAGGGCATATGTTTTTCTTTAAAGTTCGAACGAGGAAGCCAGCTTTTTTTCTGTTTCCTTGCGTTCATTACACTTTTCCAAATTTCAGTTGGCTATGTTTTGATATTTTTGGTAATTACAATTTTTTGAAAACCCTAGAAGCGTTTGAGTGCATAATGAAGTGACCAAATGATGGAAAGCTGCCTTCTATAAGAATAATGAAAAACAGTTTTAAGTTCCTATTCGCTGAACGCTTCATGCAAAAAAAAACGAAAGTGAAAGTGACAGAATGCAGTTATGTGGCCTGACTGGAGGTTTCATAAACTTGTTTGATTCTCTTCTGACAAGCTCGCAACACGTATCAGCCTTATTGCACTATCTTGTTTTTTGCCTCTGAATTAATTTGCGTTCTTTGATATTTTCGCACTTTTTTTCGATTTTTGAATAGCCAAATCACATTGGCTGAAGTTATTTTTCTAGTATCGGTTTTTATTGCAGCTTGACGTTTTTTGTTTTAACATAAAGCGTTCAGCGAATAGGAACTTGTTGCGGTTTTCTACGAATGAAAATGAGTCATCATCACGAACAACTGGTTTCTCACTTGCAAAAGCTATCTGAACAATTTTTCAACAAGTGAAATAGAGGTTTTTTGTTTAATGAATATTGAATTAATTGCTTAGATAATTGTGAAAACTCAATTTTTACCTGGAAAAGAAAGACTTAATTTTAAGATTGTTTATTATTAGTTTGCATAAAATGCAAGGATCAAGATAAATCAAGTTAAGATCTTTGACCCAGAATTTAATTTGGATTAAATTTGCTTAGCTTTGCGTGTTAAATGTCTCGATTCTGATAGACTGAAAATGCCAACCAAGAACCTAGGCAACAATGATTGGACTGATAACTTGATTCAAAGTTTATTTAGTGAAGATCATTAGCCTTTTTTTCAGATGAATACGAGAAACAAACAACCTTCACCTCGCCCACTCCTGCCGAGGTTCCGACTCCCCGACCGGAACCCGAACCACAATTCTCGACCACCTCACTCGGAAATGCAGCCTTCGGAACCAACAGCACTTTCGACACTGGCGGGTTAAGTCGGGGCGACAACCCGTCCCTGGACACCGGACTTCTTACTCATGATGATGTCGAAATGAGTACTTCGTCTGAGAGTTATGAAAATTGGTCTTTTGTCACCAATGCGTCTAACGCTGGCTTCACAGGCGAGATTTTTTCAAATTTTCCCCATCATTTTGTTTCCTTTTTGCCTAAATTGAACCTCAAATGGCGTTTTGAAACAAGATTAGATGCTATAAATTATACAAATGTAGTGTCTGCATGTGAATAGATTTGAACAACCGTTTCGAAACGCAACTTGACCTACGAACAAAATTGACGGTTTTTGGCAACTTGTGATTGTAATTTAATACGGGCTGGGGGATCTACTTGACAATTGCAAATTTTAAATGCAACGCTCTAGTGCTAATTTACTGCTCTTATTTATAGGGGTGGCAATTCTTTAGTAGATACCAAAGGGAGGGCGATTGTTTAGTAGATCCGGGTGGGGTGGTGTTAAACTGGAAATTAATGCTTAGGAGATGAAAAGATATTTGACCTTGAGGGTAGTAACAGTGGGAGTGGGAGTGGGGCGACGGGGGGAAGTGGATCGGCGACCGAGGGGGAGTTTGCCGAGGACACGATGGGAGGCCAGGATTTCCACTCGGCGGCTGAGCTGGCTGAGTTTGTTCACATCACGGATACGATCGCAACTTACGACAACATACGCCCACTTCAGTGAGTAGTCGCTACGAGTTGTTTTCTTTTTATTGTCTTTTATACTATTTGAAAGCTCTTCGGTGATTTAAAAAAGAGCTCTGAAGGAAGTTTCTCGACGATTCTTCAAAAGCGAATAAGAGATAATTTAAGAAAATTGAGAGTTGGAATGTGAAGTACTGAAATTCTACGAGATGATTACACTATATTTCAGGTCAGAAATCAGAAAATCTTTTTATCATTTTTCTTCTGGAGAAACAGTTACTGAGTAATAGTTTGTTTCCAAGCTGTGTAAATCAATAACCATGCAATTTTTCATAAAATAATTTTGTAGATCGGCATAACACAGTTATTATTTTTTAGTGGTAAGGACGAGCTCTTGTCAAGTGCGAATGCCCTGAAGTCGCCCCCAGTGTACTCGATACAATACAACAGTGTGTCCTATGCCAGTGCCCTGTCCAATGGGTCTGATTTCCAGTCCCTCTATGACAGCGTCAGATACGACAACTCCAATGACAAGTCATCACACGCTGTTTACACTGTGGAGTCCGGAGCGTAAGTTGGCTGAGCATCATAAGAGATTTTAAAATATAAAAAGGTCATAATTTCAAAAAACATAACGTTTTTTTTTTCGTTTTTTATTAGGTTCCTTTAGACTTTTCAACTGTATGTTGTCCATGACAGTTGAAAAGTGTATGTAGAGTCTATAGAGTCAGGTCATAGAGTCTATGTCCGTGTTACTTAAAACACAAGCTGGTTAAGTTATTTTTACAGAAGATTTTATTTCGCCTGCTTATATATCACTATTTTTTTATAGATTGTAATACTCACTTAATACATTTTAGGAGTAACTCTGAACGAGGCCTGCCTCAATCCACCACTACATGTCAAGTGCACGAGAGAATAGCTCCCAGTCCAATCGAGATGTTCCGCAGCTCCTGTCTACTTCCAAACAAACGCTTCAGATTCCACATTGTCTATTCAGTTATGGCCAATCTACGGTACGATGCTATTAAAATCCTCCCCCGTGTGTCTTCGAAGAGGAAAGTTCTGGTTCCCTGGATTGTCACGGAATGTATCTCGCCGAAACTAGAAGCGTCAATTGATGATTCAAAGGAAGTCGAGACGTTTAAAACTCCAGAACATACTCCGAACGCAAGGCTTGAACTCGACGCAGCTGAAATCAAAGAGCAGTACTATGTCATAGATCCGAAAGCGGTTCCGGTCACGGTGACAGCTAATCGGACTTTAACGACGCTTGATCACGAACATTATGCAGAAATTGCGCGAATAGTGGGAAATGCAGGAACTAGTAGAGCGGTGTTCAACAAAGCACAGCACTGTGTTAGTGTTGAGAGGTTTCTACAAGCAAACGCGACATTGCAATCTCTAGATCTAGACTCAGCTTCTAATCATACGCAGACATCTAAACAAGTTTTGGTCGGTAGTTTGAACCGAGATATGGACGCAGGAATATCATCTGTTAGTGGGTTTGATTCAACGAGCAAAGAGAAAAATAGCTCAGACGATAACCAAAACAATGCCACTGAAGGCGGGGAATCAAGTTCGTTTTCAGTGGATGTAACCAGACGAACTCGCGTGTCAACCATGGTTCCTGAAAGCCACTACAGTCATTACGAGACTGCATCTAGAACTGATACCCAAAAACGAAAATCATCTAGAAGGTTCTTTAGCCTGCTTCGAAAGAAGGACAGAAAAACGCCCAGTCGAAAACGAAGAAGCGTTGACATCGAGGCGTTTGGAGATCGACTTGGTTCGCCGACTGCCAACGAACAATCGTCACGCCGTGGTTCTTTTTTCAGTCGGTTTAGTCGTAGTGGCAGTCGCTCGAGATATTCGACGTTAACGTTCAAAGAAACAGGTGTCGATGACATGGTTCAGAATCTGTACAACAAGTTCCAAAATGATACCGAGTTCCACATGATGATTATGAACTTCAGATGTCGAGCTAAGTTGAAGAAACCGAAGCACGGGACGGCCACAGATATGCAGAGAGATCTGAAACTATCGTGCTCAAATGCGACTTCGTTGTTTAGTGAGTTTTACCCGCAGTTGAGAGGCATGAAAAACAAAAAACAGCAAAAAGAAGTGGTTAATAAAGTTCTTGGACGAAGCTCACGTTCGAAAGAATCTGTAAATGAGATTGTATTAGTTGATGCTTTCAGGCCAACGACTTGCTTGTAAAAGAAACTTATTGAAGAAGATCCAGTTTTGCTAACGAGGACAAAAAATCAAGCTTATATTTTGTTGCTCAGATTTATAGAATTATTGAGACTACTTATTTGTGCTTCATGTTGAATTGTTAGTTCACTTTGATAATGCTTGCTCTTATCAATATATTTTTACAGCTCAACGGTTTTTCTTTGAGGATTAAAAAAATTTGTAAGTCAAAACTTGTTTTATAATGTAGCATATATAAATAACGAACCAAATTCTGTACGTTGCTCGCTAGAATATAAACAGCAAGCATGTAAAGAGCTGAGTTTATTTAAAAAAAAGCATTTTTATTATAAAACTGGCTGTTTGTAATGTCTAAAGTTGTGTTCAAAGATGATTTGGATTCCAAGCAAGGCAAAAAGATAGATTTGTCGTTGGATGTATCCGGAAAACACACACGTCCAGACGTGAAAACATCTCAAGAAAAATCGTCTAGAAGAGGAAAAGACAAATCGCGATCGGCAGAGGATAACGATTCATCTCTTAGAAGAGATAGCAGAAAAGAAAATGGCAAAAAAGATTCGCTTCCTGATGTACATGATTCTCGCCGCGCAAAGAAAACCGAGCTTACGGAACTATCCGATAACGATAACAATACAACCGAAACGGGTTTGCCGCCGACGGCGACGAAGCCGACCCGACGCGATGTTGCGGAAACTTACCGCCAGAGTCAAAAGTTGTCGTATGATACAGTGGAGTATTACGAGAAGATGAACAAAGTGTTGGCGTTGGAGGCCGAGAAAGCGATGGATGAGAACAGAGATTTAAATCTGAGGATTTCGGAGTTGGAGACGAAGCTAGTTCTGGTTGCAAGTATGTTCAAGGAGAAAGAACTGCAGAAAGAGCGAGAAATGAAGGTAGGATATTTAAAATGGATAAATTTTTGGAAGGTAGTGTCTTTATCGAGGAGCGTTGCAATGGTCTCTGATTTCTAAAGAGTGAAATAACGAACTTGTTTTCATCGTTATTTAGATGGTTGGCTTTGTTTTGTTTAGTTATGATTAAAAGTTTTATTGTTTTTTGAGTTAGAACTTCACAAACAATTGGTAAAAATTGAGACAAAAATACTGTTTTTGGCACGCTTTGATTAAAAAAATGCGTTCTTCGTTATGCGTTCCTTCCAAAAATAATTAATAATGGCGCCTCAATCTAATCAAGGCTTACGCCAAAAGTGGATTTACAATAGTACCAAATTATAGGGACGCTGCGGAATGATACGGTGTCGATTTCTGAAGTGGATGGCGTGCGTCTTCTAAGCCCGCTAAAGCTTGATGATTTAGTGTTTAGTTGGGTTGAGTGAAAAATTGTTCTCTCCATGCTAAAAATAAAGTCGAGATTTTTCCAGCGCGTGTTATCGAAAAATGGGGAGGAACTTTGTATTCGGGTGTTTTTAGTTTTTTTCTAATTTTGTTTTCCACGCAAAATCAGCTACCACAAATTTTCATCGGAGGTAGTTGAATGATATATCATTTCAAAGCTCTTTCAGTCGTGTTTCGAACGATAGTTAAAAAAAATTCAAAAACTTGGCGAGTGTTGAGAAAAACCGATTTGAAACTTTTGATTTTTTTTCAAGTTCTATTGAGCGAGCAGGCTTACAGCAGTTTGTTTTTACAAGCAAAGCTTGTGTGATAGTATGAACTCTCTTATTTTCCAACTAAAGTACAAAATATTGTTGCGACAAAAAGTGTTCTTTTTGAAAGTAGTTTTGATCAATAACCAGCTATTAAGTACAGCCAATGCTAAGGATATTAACAGACTATTATGTTACAAATAGTACTTAAGCTTCAATGTATCATGGATCTGTAGCGGGGAAGTAGGGAAGGAGATCCGCGACAAAATAAGAAGGTTCGAACCTGGGCAGGGTCGGATGATTTTAATGAACTTTTTCGTATACTAGTTAAAATGCGTCCGCTCTGTAAATTGAGGCATGTTAGTTGGTTAATTTCTTTTTGTTTCAAATTTACTGGTACTGCTAATGCGTTATAATTGGCTGGCGTTACTAAGCAATTAAGTGGACTTATAATTGGCGTGTGTCACATAAGAAATTTTGTAGACTCAAAGTTATATTCATTAAGTTTTTTCCAGTGACGTTATCGGTCATTTTTTTTGTGTTTGCTAAGTGCAACTTCGCCTTTGTTTATCAACTTAAAAGCTTACAATTATTTAGTTTTACTCGATTACAGTTTGTTTTTTGAGTATTTTAGTGTCTTTTTGGAAACAAAAACTTGAAAAACTGTTTTTTTTTCTAGTCATTTTTCTTGAAAAATGGTTTTCCAGTTTGCTTTTTTTTACTTTGACTGTCGAGTATGCCTAAGCTCTAGTTTTTTGTTCAGATTCTTTTATCACACCACGGAGAAAAAAAACGAATATAATTTGAAAAAAAAAAACGTTTTTTTTTGTATTTTTAAGACTATGGTCGAAGCAGTCTGCGCAACTTGCATAGTAACCGGCTATCCTTGTTGCAGTTTTGATTTTGAAATGTCATTTGAAAAGGGGGTCTTAATAAATAGGGTTCCGTAAAAAAAAGTCAAGGGGAAGAGAATTGGAAGTGAGCCAACTGCTCGTCGTCATTATAATTGTCTCAATATTTCTAGAAACAAGGATCGAACTGGGAAGAGTCTCGACTGAAACAGGAAGAAGCCAATCGTGTTCGCATGGAGCAGGAACAGAAGTCTCTTTTGAACCAGTTCGAGAAGGCACGTGACGAGATGCAAGGGGTGCTCGCGAGGAACCGAGAACTTGTGGACGACAATGAAGACCTGAGGAGTCAGCTCTATAGATTGAAGGAGGAGCAAAAGGCGAAAGAGGAGACGGAGAAAACTAAAAGGGAGGAGGACGAGAGAAGAAAGAGAGATCAAGAGGCCAATAAAGAGGATAAGAGTGTTATGGTTAGTACCATATTGTGCTTTTGCAAACAACTTCACTACGCTTGCAGGAACCCCCATTCACAAAAACAGCGGGCTTTGAAAGTTAATCAAGAGTAGATGAATTGAGTAAAATGACTTGAAAATGTTGAAATTTCCGGGTACGGTTTGCTGAGAAAAGCTATAAATCACTGATTAATGAAAAAATAGTTAACTATTGAAATTGGCACTGCTTAGTCAATTGTAAGTATTAGTGGAGTTCTAGTTTCCAATTTGTGAACAGGATTGAGCTGCTCTGTTTAGGTCGAAATTGAATGCCAAGATGCAAATGTTGGAGACCCATTGGAAACGACAGATAGAGAAATGAAGACAGACGAGCTGATTCTAGTTGATGTTCACGTGAACACAGACACTAAACAGTTTCAAAACTCGAACACGGACACTTGGGACTTAATCGAGACAGACGTCAAAGAGGCCATGACTGATCCAGAGAAACCGCCTGTCAATTTACAACACGCATTCGTTTTTCCAATGTTCAGATAAAACACACGTGATAAACTGACTATAAAATACATGGTTTGTCTGTCCGGATTCCAGATGTCTGCCTTAAAACTAATACAAACTTAGTCTTGATTTACATATTAAGTTTTCAAATCAAAGTTTTGTGACTCAAATGCGAATTTCGTCACTCGGACTGAGTTCGAACGATAAATTCCTTTGCAGATAGTCCATTAGTATTTCTGAATAAAGAGCAGTGTTGTAGCTGCGAAGAAAACTTATCGTATTAAGTCTAACTGAACGTAGTGTAGGCTCGCTCTTATTTTGGTCGTCAGATGTATTAACAAATTTTTCACCACTTGGGGAAGTCCACCACTTTTCTTCAATTGAAGCCGCTACTTTCTGTGTTGTAGTTCAATGTTAGCTCACAGAATATAATACATTTGGAGAAATAATAGGATGAGTTAAATCCGCTTTAATGAAGCGCATGCATTGCTGCCCAGTAATTACTATCCAAGTACGTGTCTGGTTGTTGGCCGAAGGAATTATCGGAGCGAGCTTAGTGAGCATAGTGTCATATTGCGAAGTCCAATTTTTCCCATCCAAACTCTCAAACAAAAACGCTCATTTTGTACAAAACAGTCCTATAATTGTTTTAACAAGCCGGTAGGCCGAGAATTGTCCTTTGTTCAACAAACATAAAGAACAAAATAGTGAGCGCCGCAGTCCTGCCAATGTGTTGCGAGCTTGCCAACAGAGGAGAGGAGTTATACGAAATTTAGAGCCGGTTATCGACGCAAAGCGCGCCCACCGGCGACCTTAAACCGGACTGTTTTGTATTGGACTGTTTTTTTTCTTCCTTATATGATTTTTTGGACCAATTTGTATTGGACTGGTTTGTATATGCACCATTTATTTAGTGGCTTTTTTACAGCAACATCATTATTTGGTGCATTTTTGCTGCATAGCTTTGTATCTGGTTTATTGCTGTCCATTAATTCGGCTTGAATGATATTTTGGAGAGTTTGGAGAAAATCAAAAAAGAATTTGCAACCGCGCTTGATTTGCAACCGCGCGTCTGTCTGATGTAAAACTGCCAGTTTTTACGATAATGTAGAAAGGCGAAATTGTTTTTTTTTTGCGAAAATGTTTAAGTTGAGGTTGAAAGGCTATATAGTTCTCTCGAAAGCTTGTGTTTTATTTACACTAACCCAACTCGCAAATAAAAGTGCTCTTTTGGTGGCACGTTTGCTGCATTGCATTGGAAATTTAATAGCTTCTGTTCTATCTGCTTTATTAGTGGCTAGTAAATGAAAATTTTCAATAAACTATGGCGCAGATGCGAGGACGTGATATTCATTATGTTCAGGTCGGTTGTTCAATTCCGGCACTTTGCTAGCAAAAGTTTTATTTTTCAAAGCTGATTTTTAAAACCTTTTCTTTGTTTATCCGTTTTATACCTTTTTAGAGCCGTTTTTTTTTGAAGTGCAACTTTGCTGCTGAGTAGATTCTTGTAGCCGGGTTTGAATAAGGGACTACCATAATGAATTCATGTTTTTTTTCTATTGACTGACAGGTTTTAGTTAAACTATTTGCAAAAATTTTCCATGGCTTCTCCGCGTTGTAACTTATTTCAATATACAGAATTGTTTTTAAGAGTAATGAACGTAGTTGTATAGGTCTTGGTGATTTTTTTTTGTTTTTAGGAAAAAGTCTTGGAGTTTGTTCACACGCAATTTTGATTTTTCGCGGTTTGATTTATGATTTCTTCTTTAGTTCAGTCCCTTTCATATATTAAAAGGAAGGCAAACTCCACTATCGAACAGCAAAAATGTAAAGGTCACGAAAAACGTGATCGACTTCTAATATTGAAAATGGAAATTAATTATCAGATTTCCCAGTGAGATAAAAGACTTACCTATTGATCCAGTTTTCTCAAATTGGGTTGCTTTTAACAAAAAAGTGTCCATCATAAATTGTTCTACAAATTCAGAGAGCTTTAAGGCCATTTGTTTTTTTCTTCAAAGTTGAAGATTTTTGAAAAAAAAACAAGTCCGTTTTTGTTTCAGTTTTAGTTTCATTGCGTTCATTTCTCTTTTCCAACTGTCAAATGGCTATGTTTTGTATTGAGAAATCAAGCATTTCAGGTTAATTATGTTGGAAAACGGAGATATTGTTCATCCGAATAGTACTATATCAAATGGTCATAGTCATTCAAAGACAGACAAAACACATCCAGTCATGTCAGAAGATGAAATTAGGGCCAAACTGAAGCAATACGACCAGTCGCATTTGATGCAATTTTACGAAGAGCTGAGCGACGGAGAAAAGGAAAAGTTGTTGGCTGATATTTCAACAGTTGACTTCAAAGATGTCAGCGAGTTCTTTGAGAAGGTCGGTGTTTACTAAGGTGGTGCAAAATTTTCTCTGAGATGTCAGAATGTTCTTCGAGAACGTCGCTATTAATTAAAATGTGATGAAATAATAATCTACAATTTTTGCTTTGTAGTTCATAAGTTCATATAATGAAAGCGAAAGATGATTTATCAAAAGTTTTTTAATGCCAAAAATAATAACATGAATAATATGATTTTTATGTTTCCATTACAGGTCGCGAAAGTCGATTTCGATCAGGTAATATGTGGCATGGGAGTTTGCACGACTTAGTTAGTTTTGAGTAACTTTCTGTTGTAAATTTTGCCAATTGTTTTCTCTATTTCCTTCACTATTAAATTGGCAATTGGTAGTCTATTTTTTTCTAACTTCTGATGTTTTTCGTAGATGTTTTGGTTTAAAAGGAAAAGCATGAAATGAAAAGCATGGTTTAAAATGAACACTTGAATAAACAGTTAGCCAGTTGAAAAGCATCGAATAGTTATTAAGCATAACAGCTGATTAATAAAGAAGCCTTGTGAAAGGTAAGAACCGAGGGACTAAATTATGAAAATAAGTTGTCATTTTTCTAAATCTTTTTCAAGTTACGTCAGAGCAGTTAGAAGGGTTTCAAAAATAGCTCAGGATTTTGCAATGACATGTGAAAAATGTTAATAATATGATATTTTGATAGTTCATTATCTTTGTTAAATTAGTATATGACAGAAATTTAAAAAATCTGTAAGTATCTCGCTTTTTTTTCTTAGGGGTGCATTTGGTGGGTAGATTACTCGCTAATAATTAACCGTTTATCTAGTCCTTACTAATTGCGGTTATTCTCTACCTATGTACCATAGGATGGGCTGATAGTTGAATAGATCCGAACTAAATTCTTTCTGGCCTGGTCCAGCAATTGATGAATGCTGAATCTCTCCATTTATTCACACAATCTAACACGCATGTGGAATATTTCACCGTCTTACGTTCTGTCACGGCGGATATGTTGTATAATCTTATCGTAAAAAGTAATCGACTACATTGTTTGACATGGGGAATCTCCGGGACCCAATGCTCAAAAGTTACGACAGCCAATCATTACTAAAAAATTTGTAAAAAGAGGCGTGAAAATCAGGGTTTTTGAAAACAGTTTGAAGGACTTTGATTGGTTGAAAATTTTGTGGCGTTCGGATTTTTTAGTTATGAAATTAGCCGGAATTATAATTTAGAAACATGGAGTCACAGAAGCGTGTCGTCTCGCTCCAGTAGAAAGAGACATCACGGGATCTGTGCACGACGAACAGGCACCCGAATACAAGTCATTAGGACTATCAGCCATCGCATCTAGTTCTGTATGTGTACTCCTACTAGCTGGAGGCCAGGGCACTAGACTGGGAGTCGATTACCCTAAGGTAAACTAACCGCCTGTTTATTTCTTTACTCTAAACTTTTTTTAATTCGCAGTCATCATTTCCAACCGTTAGGAAAGAATTTTCTTTTCAATTGGCCCGAAAGACATCCTTTCTTTTTTGCAGCCAATATCTGATGCTCAAATTGAAGATAGATTTTTAATCTTATGGTACGCTCTCAAGTGATGGTTTTACTACACTCAAAATTTTGCTTTCATCAGTTTTTTTGGCCCCGATAATACGCCCGATACAACGCTGAAATATTGTTCTTTCATTATTAAGTTAGTTTTGATTATTAGCCCTTAATAATAAAGTTGGCTTTCAGGGAATGTACAATGTCGGCCTTCCGTCTAATAAAACATTGTATCAAATCCAAGCCGAGCGAATCATCAAAATCCAGCAGTTAGCTGACAAACATGCAAACCATTCCAGTCCAACATCTGTAGTGCCTTGGTACATCATGACATCCGAACACACAAAAGAAGCAACTCAGCAGTTTTTCGAGAGCAAGGGGTACTTTGGACTTGAAAAGACAAATGTCGTGTTCTTCGAGCAGAATATGATTCCGTGTATAGACATGAAAGGGAAAATTTTACTGGAATCGAAGAGTAAAATTGCAAGAAGTCCAGGTATGGAATATTCACTTCTTAACTTAATCTTTACGAAATTCGAATGATTCAAAAAATGATCCTATAGCATATAGTTTGTTTGCAAAAATATAGCATATGATTTAGCATATAGTTTGTTTGCAAAAATTACTGTGATTGGAACTTTCTAATCTCCTTGCACATCAACAGGCCATTATTGTGATCTACTTTTTAATTGTGATATAGTGATATCTTCGTTAATAACAATTGAGTTTTAAACCAATTGTTATCGACGAATATATCACGATAAGTCTATTATCCAAAAAAAAAACAATCTTCCTTCAATTTTCAGGGAGTTCGCTCATAAAGTGGAGAACCTTTCATTTCATACTCGTCAAAAACTATATATTAGTGTTTCTAATGCTCCTTTAGAAACATTTAAGAGTCGGTCGGCCGAATAGGGGTGTCGTAAAATAGTATTAAAGGGGATCCTCTGGGTGGCGAGGGGGTCGAATCTCTGAAGTCTGATCTAGACCCTCACTCCCACCTAACTCCCATAAATCCCTCCCTGATCTGAACTGAACTAGTACTGTTGTTTGTTTCAGATGGCAACGGGGGTCTGTATAGGGCGATGCGGGAGTGTGGCATTCTGGAGGACATGCAGAGTAGGGGGGTGGAGCACATAAACATCTATGGAGTGGACAACATCCTGGTCAGGCTGGCCGACCCCCTGTTCGTCGGATTCGCCATCACAAGACAGGCAGAGTGCGCCAACAAGGTACTTGGATGACAATAAGGAGAAGAAAAGGGGTGAAATTCAACTTACCGGATCCCGGATTCTCTCAAGTATCAGAAGACTCCTCAAAGCCGCCTAAGTTTGAGCCTGCAGTAATATTTAGTGAAAAGTAAAATTTAGGCTGGCAATGGACCCAAAAGATTTTTTAAAGAATTTTTAACGCTTTCAAACGGTAATAATTTTCATTTGAAATACCGTTGATATCTTGAAACGTGAAAATTTGCATGAACGTGAAAGAATTTAGCCAGTGGCATGTGAACAACTAAAACAGGCACCAATAGAGTAGTTATGGGCTCTTTTATTCTTTTGGACGAATAACATCATTGTTGAGTTATAAAATTTTAAATAAATAATTGAAACAAATACACAAAAGCATAACTACATGAACGCGTGTAGACATAGATATTCGTGAGTTCATCTAGTTACGCTTTTGTATATTTGTTTCAATTACTTATTTAAAACTTTATAGTTCAACAATGATGTTATTTGTCCACTAGAATAAAAAAGTCCATAACTTCAGTACTGATGCCAAGTTATATGGTCGGGTTATGTGGCGTGAGCGATAAGCGCTCTACTGTCTTGAAGCGTTCTTAAAAATTTTTGCAGCTCTGAAATAACGTGGAAATATGAATAATTTTTGTTGTTGTTAGTTTTCACCATTTTTAAAGTCAGATTACGAATATGCACTTAAAGCATTCAGAAAATGTGTTAATTGTTGTCGAAATCCGGGATCTGGTAAGTTGAATTTCGCCCTTATAGTTAACCAAAGCTAAATGTCGCCGAAGTTTTATCGAGTACGTTCTTTGAGCTTGATGATTTAATTTTTCAGGTGCTGCTGAAGAAAGATCCGCATGAGAAAGTGGGAGTGGTCTGCAAAGTAGACAACGCGTACAAGGTGTGCTCGCTTTTACTGTCTTAAAAATCGAAAGTTGAGATGGTGCTGCTGTTTTTTTTCAAATTATTTATCGGTTTTTTATTGTTCAATATTGTAGGATTCACCAATTCAATTTCTCTGGTTTATTTTGAATGAAGTGTTTGTTTGTTTGTTTTTAAAAAAGAATTTAACATTTACGCAAATGATATGAGTCAGGCTTGTGTGAGTTAACCATTGAATATTTTTTGTTCTGACAACCGAAACTGGGAGGAAATTTGCCTTCGTGTCTCACGCAAAATTAGGCATCTTAAATAACATCGTGGTTGAGTGATATTTTAGCCCTTTCAGCAGTGACTCGAACAAAATATAAAAAGTTAAGAACAATTTTCTGTCGAGAAAAACCGTTTTGAAATTTTAAGTCTTTCGAGTGAATTAAGCGACCGAATATGCTTATAATCGGAGGATACGCTTTTATTTGAGCCTTGAAAATTTAAGTCTTACTCCATTAAAATTAGTGAAGTTTCTTTAAGCGGAGAAAGTTTCTTTTGGCAATAGAAATTTTTTGTTAATTGTGGTCGGATTTTTTTTTGCTATTTGCACTGTAACCGGCTATTCTTGTTTTCATTTATTTTCTCTTGTTTTTGTTCAATGAAGTACATACACCTCATTTAATTCTTCAATTTGTTATGAATAAAGAGTTGCTTAAATTTGAAAAAATACGTACCGTATCTAGTGGAGCCTGTGTTATTTTATTATTTTTTTTCCAATCAAAGTCGCACAAGTTTTGTATTGCAGTTTCTGCATGTTTTTTTTTCAGTTTTCCAGTTCAATTTCATACATCGAAGGATTGTTGTCAAATTTAAATTGCATTTATTGCTGCCTTTAGGAAAAGGTGAACCTAAAACTGCTATTTTTCTTATAAATGAATGAATTTCTTTTATTTCTGATATTTACTTTAGTCTTTTTTCTTTTGCGCGTGATTCAAATTGTCGAGAGTGTTTCTTTATGTATCTGAAATCTGAGAAGTCTCTGTGGAACTTTGTAGATGCCAAATTGGGGGCTAGGTCTCTTCTTGGACCAGATTTTTACCAGACCGACCTTTTACCAGACCACAATGCAATAATTCATCTAAGATAATCTAAAATACGTGGAAGATTTGAAAAGAAAGTGGTTAGAACAGACAAACTTTCACTGAGAAACCGTTAGATCATCGTCTTTAACCAGACTAAACGGCTTTATTACATCTGTCAATCAAAATTGTTTATCAAGTCTGGTAAAAGGTCCATGTTTCAACTTTTTCTCATGTTTTAGAAGGTCCATATTTTAGTCTGGTTAAAGGTCGGTCCCTCCAAATTCGGAGAGGAGTGCGGTCTGTATTTAGACAACCGCGTATTCATACTCGTCAGTAAGCAGACAATTATCATATTAACTAATCAGAATCGAGATGAGAAAGCAAATTTACGAAATAAATAATTATTCATTTCTTACTTGTCTCGATTCTGATTGGCTAATACAGTATTTGTCAAAATACTGACGAGTCTGAATACGCAGTTGTCTAAATACTGCTACGTAACCATTCGGAGAATAGTTTGTTTTGATTCTTTTCCAAAATTTTAATTCATGTTAAAATTCATGTTTCATTGTTGGTCAATTGAGTGTGTACTTTTACTTACTATGAGTGTTTAGGTAGTGGAGTACAGTGAGATTCCGAAGGAAGTGTCTGAGATGCGGGACCCTGAGACCAACCGACTGCTCTACGGGGCATCCAACATAGTCAACCACTACTTGTCTTTCCAATTCGCCCTTGAAATGTGTCGGTAGGTTGTAGCTTTTGGATCTACTTAACAATTACCTCCCTTTTAAGAAAGGGGGCAATTGTTAAGTAGATTAAAATAACGCATTTTCGACCAATCAGATTGCAGCAAAATTAGAAGTGTCAATACAAAGCTCTAGCGCTAATTTACTGCTTTTATTAATAGGGGTGGCAATTCTTAAGTAGGTACCAAAGGGAGGGCAATTGTTAAGTAGATCCTAATTTTCTAAAGTCTACTTATCATTGGGTCTACCCTCTTTTTTTGAAAAAGGATTCTACGACAACCCGTAGTCTAGTAACAAAAAAAAAAGATGAAAAGACCACCACAAACTGGGATGTTAATGTTATGGGGGCGGCTATGTTTTACTGGGTAGCTAATATGAGAGCAATTTCATTTTAAACGAGGCTCCTCATAAAACGAAGAGTTTGAGGTGATTGTCATTAAGTGTTGATTAGCGAAGTTTTTCCCGGAAAAGTCTTCATTACATTTCAACTTCTTTTTTCAGTTTTTGGTTCTTAAGTGACTTTCAGTTGAAACTAGACATGTAAGCTCAAATGAAAATTGCTCTCCAATTTGGGAGACGAAGTGACACTAAAATTCTTCATGAAAACTGAGAAAATGGCAAATTACTTTAAGTTTCAAAATTTAAGTTTGACTTTTTAATGTTGACTATTTGGGAACTTCCAGTGATTAGAATAAAAGGAAAATAGGTAACCCAATTTTCTCAGAGCCAAAAAATCTCTTAGCTATGATTGTTTGATTTTGGTGCCATTTTTTCCGTAGTCCCAAAGAATCCTGTATTGACGGCTTCGCGATGTTAAGTTAAGAAGTAGTGAAAATGCTGAATGTTTTAAGATCTATATCTGAACGGCCAATTTTGTGTAAACTGAATGACTTTCCTGGAAATCAATCAAAAAGCGAATCAAAACAGAAAGAAACAGTTTTTAAAAGTGTATTCGAAACTTTTGCCCTTTGCTCCCTTCGAGGTTTACTGTGTGAAAATATAAGTGCGATAGGAGTGCATATAGGGCTAAAATTAAGTGATGCAAAAAGATTTCATGAGGTAGTTGCTTTTTTTTCAGAGATGAGTCATCCCTGCTTCTCTACCACGAGGCCTGCAAGAAGATTCCCTATGTTGATCTGTCGTCAGGGAAATTAATCGCAGCTCCCGAAACGAACACAGGAATCAAGAGGGAGAAATTCGTATTCGATGTCTTCCCATTCACCAAGTTAGAATCTTTGAAACTTCTAAATTTCAGTGTTCAAACGTTCTGGCTTGCGATATTACCATCACTTAGTGTATACAGATGAAAAAATAAATTCAGTTTCCTGACAATTTTGTTATTGTTTTTGATTTATTCCAAATTCTTTATTCAAGTTGGCTCTTTTCAAGTTCTTTTTTTGGTATAATGCTGAAGTGTGTTACCCCGAAAGACCTTTGAATTGCTCTTAAAATGAAGTTTTTAAATTATCATAAAACAGGTCAATGTTAAGAATGAACAGATTTGAACAAATGCCTTCACATACAGAAGGTATAACAGTTGTTAGTAAGGTTTTGATCTTTTAGTTTTTTGAGGGGAGTGAATAAAAAACTGGAAAAAACCTTATGGTTTCCTTACGATAGTTGAGATTATGAAACTATTTTGGTTGTGAATAAATAGAAGATGAAAAATTTTCAAAACTTGTTATCCTAATTGATATTGCTTGTCATCAAAATTCTAAATAGATCTGTGAGGTTTTTTAGCGTTTCCGGGTGTAGAGAAATAATTTGTGTTTAGGAAGTTCGCAATGCTGGAGGTCGATAGAGAATGTGAATTTTCTCCCTTGAAGAACTCCAATCAAGCTGGTTCAGAGTGTCCCAATACAGCCAGAGACTCTATACTGTCTCTACATGCTAAATGGGTCATCCAAAATGGAGGCCAAATTTCTCCATCATCTAGGTAAGTTTTTCCTGGAATTAACGTAGTGGACAAGTATGACAGTTTGGCCTGTGAATATAGTTGTATATCTGAAGAAAAAAACAAATAGAATGCAGCCCGAAAATTTTCGGATGCGGTTCTTTTAATTATTTGTGTTTGTTTTTAAAGGTTTTCATAAAAATGGCGGAACAATCTTTCATAATTGTCTGTTCTTGGGGCGCTATTATGTATCTATTGCAGTTTTCTTAAATTTAAAAATAGCATACTAAAACTTAATTTAAATTGTTTAGCTCTGGTGATGGTTGCTCTGAAGCTAAATCTTCCAAAGTTTTGATAAGGTATGGTTATGGTCATACTCGTATATTTTCCACCCCCTTCGATTTCTGCTTTAGTAGGATTTCGTAACTGCAATTTAAATGAAATTTTGCTGTCAAAAATTGAATTAATTTTTAACAGTGTGAAATTGAATCAGATTTGAAGATTTTAATGTTACATGCAAATTGCATGCCACTTTCAGACAATTATTTTGTAGTTTTACTAAGAAGAGGGAATTTAGGAAAGGGCTGTCTAATCGAAGAATGTGCTCATTTTTAATTTCTCATCCGTTTGTTGATGAATGATATCGAGTTTATTAAATTGTGGCTGATTACAGTACTTATTGGGTAGTCTGACCTTTGCGACATTTAAAAAAACACTCATGAAATTATCAAAGTAAAACTGAACATCTTTCTAAATGTGGATGATCGCCAATACTTGTGTATCATCTGAGAATGAAAGATTGAGGTTTCACGTATTGTCGTTGAACTAACGCTGATTTAAAGAACGTTTATTACAATAGTGAACAAAATTAAACACAAACTCGGGATTTTTTCTTAAATGTTTCTTTTCAATGTCAATTTTAGACAAAATTTCTTTCGAATTTCCGAAAAGTTTTTAGATAGACTAAGCAAATGATCAGGGCAAATCATGAAACTATCAAGATTTGGTTTGAAAAACATACCAATGTAATCCGGGTGTGAAAAAGCCCGATTTTTTCACCAGCTCTAAGTTTTTCAATCCGCGTGAAAAACTAAGAAACTGCCAAGTTCAATAAAAGTCTCACACCTATTATTTCAATTTTCTCGCTGAGAATCTTTTGTGTCACATGAACAACTTTTTAATTCCGCTTATCGAGAAAGAGTTCACTACAATGCAAAGCTTAGTGCAGATGAAGAAATCTGCTATTTCAGACCCGGATTTCATTGGAAAGTCTTCGAAACCAAATCTTGATAGTTTCATAGAGGGTAGCTCTGATTATTTGCTCTGGGTTTATGTAAACGTTTTACTGAAATTCGAAGGAATTGTTGTCCAAAATTGACATTGAAAACATACATTTTAGAGAGTAAAAACTTGAATTTGCGCTTAGTTTTGTCCACTAGTGTAGTTACTGTAGTCGACGGACAGTTTTTGCACGGTTAATAAATTTTTTTCAACAAATTAGTTTAATGGAATTGTTTTCAGCGACACTGAAGCACTGACAAGTTGCCAGCAGAAAATTCAATGCGAGATATCACCATTGGTGTCATACGCAGGAGAGGTTAGCTTGAATCTTATTTAAAGTAATGAACGTAGGGAAGACTCTTATAAAGATTTCGATGATTTTTTCTTTGTTTTGCCGGTAGTTGAAATTTGTTTACGCTTAAAGTTAGTTTTCTGAGATTTGAGCTTTGATTTTTTTCAGCTCAATTAAAATTCGTTTCATGAAAGCAAAGAAATTTGCGCTATCTAATTACGAAAGTGGAAATTGAGCAAAAAAACTTGAATTACTTGCAGTTTCGAAAGTGGACTGTAGTTTATAGACTTCCGAGCCGGTTCGAAATTTACCTACTGATCCAGTTTTGTCTATCAATTTAGTTTTGGGAAAATGTCAATCATAGAAGAATCTTGAAATTCAAAGAGTTTTCATACCGGCTATATTTATCTGAAAAGAAAATTTTTGAAAGTTAACTAAAGAATAAACAATCGTTTTTTAAGTTCATTGAAACTTTCCTAATTGTCTGGCACTTTTTTCATTTCATAGGTACTTAGAATATGTTATAGTAGAAGATATATTTGCAGTACACACAAGATTAGGAACCGTGAATATCAAATAGTGGCCACGAAATGTTTCTTTGTTTAAAAAAAAGTGATGATTCAAATTTCCCGGACAAAACAAACGAAATTGGAAATGAGCATTTGTCTCAAATTGGGTTGAAGTTGAAGAAAAATTGATAAGAACAAAAGTTGCGCTTAATTGAAACCGAATTATTATATTGCGATTTGTTTAACGAAATTCGGGTCCAAAAACGTATACTATTTATCAAAAATGGATCCTTTTTGGCTTTTAGGTCAGTTAAAAGTTGCCCTAAATTTATCGGGTCGATTGATGAGCCAATTATAGTAAAGCGAGGTTCTCTTGTAGCTCAACAGAGTTTAGGGAGGGTTTTATCTGGTTAATTTGTATAAATTAATATTTTTTGTTTGATTGGTATAAAATGTCATTTTTCGTATAAAATATCAATAGTTTTCGTTTGTAACTGTTTTAAATTAGCTGAGCAAATTTTGAAGATAACTTTTTTCTTTACACGCGCAGAGCGTAGTTTTACACTGAAGCACTTTTTTAAACTTAAGTCGCAAACATTTGCTACTCTCTGTGAAGCTGTTAGAGCAGGTAGCATTGGCAGCTTAATAGCAGTTGAGTTGTCTATCGGCTGTTTAATGGCGAACGTTTGGTGAATCCCAAGCAAATATGGCGCAGATGCGAGGACGTAAGACTCTTCATCACCAGGTCCGAGGTGCGATCCGGCATATAGCAAAAAAAAACTTAGTAGCTTAGCCTTTGTATAGTTTGTTAGATAAGAATTTCCTTTTGATATAATTTGCTAACCATATGACCCGGTGTATTTTGCGATCTGGTAAGTTGTTTTTAACTGAAAGATCCAATTTGTGGCCTGAGTTTTACAAATTAAGTTTGCGCATCATTCTAATATATTGAATTTTGGGTTGAAATTATGGGCCCGAAATTCGCAAAATAATTTCGTACCACATTCTAATAGATTAATAAGCAACTTAGGTTTTTCTTCTCATCAGTTTTGTCTAATGTCAATCCAATGCGAGAAAAACCCGTCTTAAGTTTCCAACTTTTTTCATTTTGTCCTGTTATTTTATGTTATTTTAAATTAGCACCAGTATTTGCTGTAAGAATAACTTTTTACTAGCAAAGTTTTCGTCTGTTTTTGTTCTAACAGTCAGACAAGAGTTTTTTCAGGGACTTGAAGAGATATGCAAAGGTCAAACGTTCACTTCGCCAGTGTCAATTAACTAGCGATGCCATTCACTCCAATCAGAAACAGTGACGGGAAAATACACGAGCAGTTTGACTGTATTAGCTTTACGACAATTTGAAAGCTGTTTTGTCCTCTTAATCAATATACCTTGCAGTAAATCATATCAATTCAAATCACCAAAAATTATCGCCGGCGGAACCCGGATCATATAAACCAGCCGAAAAATAAACGAGCTACTACATACACCAGTCATAAATGAAACATTTTGCAATATCTCTAGAATAATAACATAATATGATCCAGAATTCAACGCAAATTTTTCTATTCTTTACTGAATTATGGTGGCGTGACCAAAGTAGATGGTTTTCGTTGAACATTACGCTTTGCAAGCTTATAAATTATGTAAAATTTATAACCGCTTTTATTTAGCAAATTAACTGATTTGCAGAAACAAATTAATTTTTTTCTAATGATGCCGAACTCTAACAAGGATAGCACAGAATGATCCGCCTATATTCATAAAAAAATTCAAAAAATGATTTTTTTAAAGATTAATCAAGGTAGTGAAGACTCTTATATAGGTCTTGCTGATTTTTTGTTGGTTTTTTTTTCAGGAAGAAGTCCTAAAAGTCTCTAATAACTACAGATGTGCATTCATACATATTGATGCATTTATGAATGCACTTAAGTATATATGCACTTTTTGAATTCAATTGAAACTGTAAATAGCACTCTTCACATAAGAACGTGGAAATGGCGCGAAAAAACGAGTATTTTCTAGTTTCGAAAGTGCAATTTAATTTTTGATTTCCAGCGGAATAAAAACTTTACCTATTGATCCAGTTTTCTCTAGTTGTGTTCATGTTATCGAAAAAACGCCGGTCATAAATTTTTCTAGAATTTCAAAGAGCTTAAGGAGCATCTAATTTTTTAGAAATTCGAAAGTTTTTGTATGTTTACTTATTTTTTGTATGTTTACTTGCGTACACCTAATTTTTCGTATGTTTACTTGCGTTCATTACTCTTTTTTAATTTTCGATTGGCTAGTTTTCATTTTAATGTCGTTTTTTGTCCATAGTGTGATGAGAGAACTGCGCAAACACGTATAAACTTAACCAATTAGGCTTAATCTTGAACAGTTGACTTAAAAAATAATGAAAAACAGACAAAAAAAAATATTTGGGAGTTTTTTGCTCAATAATTTTTACTTTGAAGTTTTTTATGGTCAAGAAAGCGCTAAATTAAATTTCAATTGGCGTTTACCGTTTGGAAAAATCAAGTTTTCAATTGGATCGGTATTACTAAAAAAAAAGTTTTTTATTTTTTTCATCGTTTAGAGGGGGGGGGGGGGGGGTGGATGGGTGGGGTGGGTATAACCGAAAAGACCTCTAAGTGATCCGGTGTGTTAATGTGTTCAGCTGTGAAGCGGCAGGTTCAAGATGTTAAAAGTAGAGTTCTGAAGTTGACGTGCACTTGATAGCTGAGTAGCTCTAGCAAATGCCGCGAAGCTGATTTTTTTTTACTTCACTGCCGACCATTTTTCTTGCTGCCCGAGTCCTATATGCGGCTGTCTAATAAAATTTCAATGTAACTTGAACTGGCAATGTTTTTTTTTTCAAAACAAGAAGAAATCCTCTATTTAAAGAAGCAATGTGGAACTATCTTGAGAATGCAAAAGATAGAAAACAGAGAGCAGATGTATCAATTAAAGAGTGGCATAGGGCGTTCTCGTAGTGTATTAATGTTGCCCCATGTAGCTTTCTCCAAATTTATTTGTTTCATCCAGAAAGAGCTGAAATATACTGAATACCAAGCAAGGAACCTTAATCGTTAGCTGATTTAAGGGAGGTGGACGCCCCCTCTTCAGGAGTTCGACCCCTGCCAACCCCTTTGTACAATTTTGAGGTATCCCTTTTTGCCTGACTACCCGAATTTTTTTTAAAGAGGCCTTCGGCGCCAATGTCTACAATTTTTGAGGGGAAGAGCTCAATTTTTTAGTCTAATTATCCAAAGAGCGGCGCAGAAATTTGGTAAAAACAGTCTTTTTGGTGATTTGGGAGAGCTCGGAAATCAATATGGTTGACCTAAAGAAATTCGAAAATGTCGACTAAAATTTTGAAAATCCCCCTCCCGAGAAAATCCTCCCACATGAACTTGTTACTAAAAAGTGTTTGCGCGACTCGCTGAATGCTTTAAGCATAGGAAAAACTGGAGAAATTTGAATCAATTGCGTTAAATTTTCATGATTTTATTATCCAAGTGGAGTTTTTGTGTGTCTTCCGTTGTATTTGAAATGTTCCCCTTTTTAGATTGTTTTAATGTCTTGATTTTATAGCACGTGAGAGTATCCTTTAAAATGTGGTCTGGCAGTTATTGATTGAAGAGGCTACTCAAAACCTTTCATAAGATGGAATGTCCAAAATGATGCGTTTGTTTGATTCTTTGGTCTTAATTCTCTTCTTTTTTGGTGCCACAGTTGCCGGAAATTGTCTGGATGGAGTCAGTCTTACAACTTGGCCTGCACGCGCTCAAGTTATTTTTCAAAACGCTTCCGAATCCTGCAGTGTTGAAGTTGTTTTTAACGAGCAGGCACGTAAACATGGGACGGTGAAACCTGGAACTAATTTAGTCGAAGTCAATTTAGATTTTCAAACTTACCACAACCTGTCTTCGAAAAGTTTTCGCGTCGCTTTCGAGAATTGTGACAAAAGTTTCAGATGTTATTTCTATCATGTTTTCTCTATGACTGAACTACAATGGCGATGTATGCAACCGAGATATCGAACGGTTGTCGGGGATCCTCAATACTTGAAAATTCTAGGGATCTATTTAACAATCATCCTTTTCTTTCTAAGCAATATTCTTTACACGTCACACCCGTTGAGTCTGATGGTTTTTTTATACTTATTATATGTGCATTTCCTGATTTAAACAATTTTTTGATATTCTGTTTGTAATAGTGGTAATGTAATATTGTAATATAAAAGTGGTAAGATTATAGTAATATAGCGTTTTTTTTTCGATCAATAAGAAATTTTGATTGATTATTAACTGGATCCCATATCTAGACAGCATTTGCAAAAATCTCTCAACTACCGATTTGGAGTTTCAACCGAAGTTGTGTTCGAGGACTTGTGATTGGCTGCTTGAACATTCGTCTTTTAACTGTTCTGAGGTTGTGGATATTGATGATACATGTAGTTACGAAGAGGTCTACGGCGAACTGCAGGCAGACGAGTTCATATTCGATGACATGGCTTCACCTCCGAATGAAATGGTTGATAATTATCTTTTTTTTTACACTAGTGAGCGTTAGTGCATTAGTACGAACCTTCTTTTTTTCTAACCTAATTCGCAAATAAAAGTGTTCATTAAAAGTGTTCACTTATTTGGTGGCAGTTTTGTTACAAGCACGATCTGTAGCATTGGAAGTTTCATAGCATCGCCTCTGTGTCAATAAATGTGTGCCAGTTTTTCTGAGCTATAAATGCAAATTAGATTAACGAAACGTGTGCCTTTATCTAAGCTTTGGTAATTAGAACTGCAAAATTTGTGTTAGTAGTCGACCCTGAAATGTTCGAACGAAGTTTATATTATGCTATTTCCTTTTTTGATCAGCCGAATATTCAATATATTGGTTCTGAAAATTATTATGATAGATGGGTCGCAACAATTTCGATGAAAAGTGTCAAAATTGCCATCTAAGATAATGTGCTGGATTTTTCAGAAAATTTTAATGCTATACTTTTTCTTCGGCTCCATCAATAATTTAGGGTTTCAAATATCATGATTAATTCATATTTTTCCAGGTCGACGACTGTCTCAGCTGGACAGATTCAAGACTGATGGTTGAGCGGGATAAGCAGTTACTACCCTTAGTTGATAACAACCACTGCTTTCGTCTTTGGAGTGGCGAGCGATGGTTTTGCTTTTCCAGGCGTGCGAACCGTTTTCGTCAGTGTCACTATCTCGTGAAGTAAGCAATTAAATCATTCAGATAATATTGAAAAAAAATTCATGATTTTTTTTTAAAGTTAATTGGGACACGAATCATAATGTAAAAAGGATAACTGGTATATTTGCAAACAGAAAAGAAGGATCTGATTACAATAGTGATTAATAAATAATTTTGATAAGATACTTATGAAGTTTTTTGCAGAATTTTATGAAAGTTTTTTGTAAATTTTTTTGACAATAATTGAGCTTTCAGAATAGGTTGTTTTTATACTAATGAAGTTAATGAGTTCTGTTTTTTTTCTGATCGATAATTGTAAATGAGTGGTGTTTGTCTCATCTTAGAACAGATGGCTTTCTTCTAATTATCCATGGTATTGTGAATCACAACTGAACAGTTTTCAGTTCTATTGAGCTTGCAATTAGCAAGATTTTTTTAATCGGATCAAAGAGGTTTTCCATGCAAACATCTTGTCGAGCGTAGCTTCTATGCATTGATTTCAATTTATACTATATCGAATCAGTCATCTAATATTGTGCTGTTTGAAAAAGAAGAAGATTTTCTTCGATTGTTTTCCTGACAGGAACGAAATTAACAGCTATAAATTTGTTATGACATTAAATTCGGTTTGACTGGCATGTACCAAAATATTGTCGGCTCAGTTTTTGCTCGATAATTTTTGAACGCTTATTTAACGCTAGGTTTATTAAGAGTTGATAAATTTTGTTCAGACTCTTATATAGGTCGTGATAATTTTTAAGGTTGTTTTTTCAGGTAAAATTTGTTTAGGCTCAAATTTTCTTCTTAACTGTTTGCCTTTTGATTTTTTTTCAAGTTCATTTCTCTTTATTTTTAGGCAAATTCCACTATCAAAAAGCGACAGCGTAGAGATAACGAAAAACGTGATCGACTTCTAATTTCGAAAATCGAATTTAATTATCAGATTTCTCAGCGAAATATAAATTTACCCATGGTTTCAGTTTTCTCATTGTGTTGAATTTGAAAAAAAGTGTCAATCATAAATTGTGCTAGAAATTCGAAGAACTTTGATTTCATCTATTTGTGTTCGACATTCGAAAGTTGAGATTGTTTAAAAAAAAACAGGTCGGTATATTTTTTCTGTTTTCTTGGCTTTCTTGACTTTTTTTCGACTCTCAGATGGTTATGTTTATGTAGCGACATGTTTTCCACAAATTGAACATTATTCGAGACAAACGTATGAAATTTTTGAAAGTTCAGTTCAAATTCCTTTGCTTAAAGGAAGGACTTTATTGCTCTGCAATTGCAAAAGTGATAATGGCTAGAAAAAAGTTAGCGATTTCTAGTTTTTTAATTAGATTCCAAGTTTTAGAGTTTTAATTTTTAAAAAAAGTGTCAATGATAAAATATTTCTATAATTCATTGAGCTCTGAAGCCATCTATTGTTTTCTTCGAAGTTCAAAAATGAAAAAAAAAACAAATAAAGTCAATAATTTCTTTCGTTTCCTTTCGTTTATTTACACTTTTCCAACTATTTTTTCTTATATTTTGTTTAAAATGGTTGACCAGAAAAACTGTTCTTTCGACTTCCGAAGAAAGGATGGAGTATTTGTGCTCGGGCTTTGTTTTGTTCTCCAGGCAAACTTTGCTCTTTAACTAGCCACTTTTGACAATTTTTCTTAAATATCACTGGAAAGGTATTGTTGTCTTGAGCTCAACTTTTAAAAAACATATTTTGCCTGTGATCATTTTTCGTAAAGTGATGGGGGTTTAATGATTGACAATTTGGGACAATTAATTTGCGATATTTTTTGGCATCGACGAAATGAATGTGTAGCGAACGTAAAGGCGATAGAAGTTATTTCAATGCAAAACCGACATGTCTCCGCACAGGTTTCATCGGTAGATTTTAAGAAAGTAGATGCAAAAAAATGTGCTTAACTATGTTCTAATGTTGAATGTCAGTGCTTCCTAGTTTATAGGCCGGGGTTCGAATATCAGTGTCTCGGAGAGTTCTATTACACGCGTTAGTTATTTTTTTTTGTAGAAAAAATGATTTGTGTCCGGATGTCTGCTAAGTTTTTGTTGGACAATTTTTTTCATTGATCAATTGGTTTAAACGAAATTTGAAACCTCTAAGTATCTTGTATTTATGCCAGTTTTTGCTTAGTTTTTCACATTTTGCTTAAAGATTTGCTAGTTCATTTTTTTCTTTAATCAAATTCCTTTTTAAAATTCAAAGCCTAATTTTTTTCTGCTATTTGAATTGCTTTTGACCTGGCGTTCGAATCCCGGAGACATGAATTACCCAAATCTTTTTTTCCCGAAATTCATTGAAGCTTCTCTAATTCAGAGTTTGTAGTTTTTCTGGCTAATGTATGCAGATTGGAAGTTCGCCGTGGTGTTTTTATGCTATGCCGTTATAGTTTAGAAGGTGATTGAAAGAGAAATGATATTTTTAATTTGTTTATGGGTGTTTTTTGTTCTCAGAAATCTGATCCAGGAGCAGAGTATGTTGCGCAACCTCCCAAGAGAGGAAAAGTTGCCTCTGCTTTCATTCTTGCTGCATCAATCAGATGACGGGTCTTCTTACAAAATAACTAAAATAGGAGGTGTAACAGTCGTGATTACTGTCCTATTCTTAATCATTGTGATTTCGGCTTGTACACTCGCGTTTGTCAAACTGAGAGCGAAATCTAACAGGGGTTCGGATGATTATCAAAGTAACAGAGGTTGGCGTCGTGATGGTGTTGTGGATCTGCATAATCAAAACGTAGTTGTGATGCATCGAATTCATCAACCTTCGTGTTCAAATGCGGAAAACACGTATAATGAAATCTACTGCACATTATCATCAGTAAATAACAATTACCGTTCGAGGTTGTGTAGTAATGCGGTTAGTGACAGGACAGTTTCAACGTATGTTGGTCTGGATTATGCTTTGTTGGGACCGAACTTTGAATTTGCGGCGGATAAAGTGGTACAGCTAAGGCAGCTTGACAGTGGCGAATACGGAAAGGTATCTCTGGCTATTATCACCACTACAGGTATAGATATTTTATGAAGCTTGCAAATGGAAAAAAAAACATTAGACTTGGAGTTTCCAAAGATATGACGAAAGACTTAAGTGGTGCATAATGTTCGCCAGGAAATTAATTTTAGTTTTTGGTAATTTCGAAGGGTTTGACCAAAAACTGCGAGTGTTACAAAAAATATAAATTCAACTAGAAAAATTTTAGGGTGGCCGCATCCGGTCAAGAATTGATAGGCACAAAATAGTGTCAATAATTGACCCATTGTACGGTAAGGCTGATGAATTTTGCATAAAGCTGCTTAGATACATCCGCAAGCCGGACTCAAAAAGGCTTTGCTTGAATTCGAAGTGCTAGTCCGCAAGGTGACCTTTACTAAGACATAACGTGTGTGACAATTTGAATTTGAGCACGCTAAGCAAATTTTTACAAAATTTCAGTCATGCGAATTGCTGTATGAACAATTTTTGAACAGCTTTATTTTGTTGTTTTACAAGGGGGTCTAAACTGGAAAAGCCGTTTTTTGCAATAGCGCCCAAGCATATGTTTTTGTCTAAAAGCCATTTCGCTTACTGAAACGCTTACTCTATAATTTGTTACTTCTACTTTGCTTAAATTTACTGCAAGTGTAAGCTGTCGCACCAGATATGTCTGTTTGGCGTTAACCGCCTTCGTTTTTTGGTTGCAGGGGAGCACGTGGCAGTGAAGATGGCGGCCACTAACTTCAGTTGTCTCTCGACTAGTTTAGAGTGCAGAGAGGCAGAAGCGAAGTTGAGGAAAGAGGCCCAGATCATGCACCCTCTCAGACATCCAAATGTCAGTTCACAATTTGCTCTCTTTCCCCATTATTACCCTTGCTCTTTTCCCTTTTTACCCCGCCTGCAAAATTTCAATAGTAGTTTTTCTGTTCACTTAGTCGGATTTCAGATGCCAGCAAAAAACAACTGAAGCATACTTGTTTGTCAGACGTACAAAAGCGCGTAGTCTTGGGTTGAGCTTCCCTTAAAAATTATTTATCTCGCGGTTTCTCAAAAAAAAAAAACACTTCAAACACAGATTCACGCGCCCAATATCTCTCGTGCCGAATGTGAGCGTAGCGGAGCAATCGGTTGCTACTTTGTCAATGCCGCGTTCGAAGTTAGCGTTAATTGTTATGAGTCCGCTAAAAAAACTGGTCTGCTAAAAAACCGGTCTGCTAAAACACCTAGCGCCTAGTTTTGATTTAGTTTTGAATTTTCCAGCGGAATATAAATTTATCTTATGAACCAATTGTCTAAAGTTGGGTTACTTTTATCAAAAAAAGTTTCACTTGTTCTTCGAACTCAAAGAGCTTTGAGGTCATGGTAAGCGGTAGTGAAGTGGTTAAGTCTCCGCTTCTCAATCGAAAGGTCGGATGTTCGAGGCCGACCATGATCTGTTGCTTGAGGGTGAAGCAACATTACCCAGCCCAGAAAAATAACCTAAAAAATTGCATGTAGTTCTTAAGCAGGGGCACAACAGCGATTCGCTGTAATGAGCTGAACAGCTCGAATATTGGACCTTTCGCACGTGGATAACTCGCGTTAAAAACAGCAATAAAAAGCCATCTTTGTTTTTGCGGAAAAAAGATTCTGTAGATTGCAGGAAAAGTCTTTTTGAAAGCTTTAACTTTGGCGAGGTATCCTTATGCAAATGAGTAATAATTTATGCTGCTCCAAATATCAGTTAAAAAATCAAAATTTGCAGTAGTAGGATAATTTGTCGATTTGTGTATTTTTACCCGTATTATTAAATCTAACAGTAATTTTGAAACGGTGCACAATGAAAGTGGTTTTAACTATTTCGCTATTTTTTCAGATCGCCAAACTGATCGGCGTAGTGAGCACAAGTCGAGCAGCCCCGTTCCAGATTCTAATCGAGTATCAATCTTACGGGAACTTGAACTCATTCCTGAGACAGAAACAGAGAGACAATGAATCCCTCTCCCTCTACAGATTGCACAGCTTCAGCCAGCAGATCTGGAATGGGATGAACTACTTGAGTGAGAGACTAATTGTCCATAGGGATCTGGCCACTAGGAATTGTCTGTTGGCAAATGCGGTTACAGTCAAATTGGGTGATTTTGGGTTTGCGGAACAGCTCCAGTCTCTGGATGACTTTATCCAGTGAGTATCTCCTTGATTTTTTGTTCTGGTAAATGCCAAATTTTTATAATATTCTTTTCAGCGAACGAATCTGAGCTAAGTTAAGTAACCTAAAACTGCTCCTTTTGCTGTGAAAAGTTACTCATCTGAACGCGTAAAAAGCAGTGTCTAAAGCTTACCCCCTTCCCTGTAGTAATGTTTGTCTTTTGAAGGGTAAAATATTTGTCCGAAGATAAGATTACAGTGTAAAAAGCCATAAGTATCATCTTCGTCTGTTTGTGGCCTGGGAAATTTTGAAAAAGCAAAATTGGTGGAAAGTTTCGGCATAGACATTAACACAATTTGCGTGGTGAAAGATGAAACTTTTGATAACTATTAAATTTTCAAAAATAATTTAAATACGAATCTAGTCATTTTCATATTCAGTCAGTTGTCCATTCTACTAAGATACTTTTTTCGAATACATTTTTCTGCCAGATAGATAGAATTGTATTCAAAAATTCAAATTTACGCTTTTTTGCAAATAATTTGACTTTTATCTGGCAGAATACTGTATTAAATAGTGCTCGAGTTAAAGCTATAAATAGTGCTCGAAGTATAACAACGAGCAATCCAGCTATTTAGAGTAAATATGCCATCTGTTTCATTATATCATCAAATCGTGATATGATTGATAGTAGCGATGATTGTGTAGAGTGAACGATGACTCAGACTTGCCTCTGCGCTGGCTGCCTCCTGAGATGTTGAGTGAGGTGAAGTACTACCTCAAGTCAGATGTCTGGCAGTTCGGAGTAGTCATGTGGGAGATATACTCTCTGGGCATGAAACCTTACTGTGGAATCAGCAATAGAGATGTCATCCAGTACGTGTTGGACGGAAAAGTGTTGCCCAAAATGGAGCCAAAGCAGGATCCGCATGGACTGGGACCCAATCTGAAAACGAGAGACTACCCGGACGCTATTTATAAGTTCATGAAGAAGTGTTGGAAGTTCAACGTCGCTGATCGACCCTCGTTCGGAGACTATGCAGCTGCAGAAGAGCTGTTCAATCTGGTAGACGTGATCACTCAGTTCTGTTCATATCAGAACGTAGAACTTTTCTGAGAAGACTAAAGAAAGAAAAGTAGAAAAAAAACTGTATTTATCACTCTTATTTATCAAACTAAAGCGGACCCTCGCTTATTGTTAATTAAACTCTGATAGTTGGCCTATTGTCCGCCTGTTTTATCAAATCATTTTGATTTGATTCGTTTCTTTTAGTTTAAATATTCTACTTATTCTGTTGTTAAGAAAGGATAAAAACTCGAAATTTATTGTTAGTTGATGAATTACTGAATTTTTCAAACCGTTTGTCATCTCGAGTTTTAGCATATGATAAAGTAAATTAGTAGATACAGTATTTATTCAGATCTTAACCTGTCAACTGACTTTCCTGTAAATTTTGCTTCTTTGTAAAATAAATATTGCTGCTTTGAATTGTGTTTGTCCAAGCTCTTGTTTTTGTGGCTTTGATTTAGATAGAAGTGCCTTATCTCAATTTATTTTTCTCAAACTGATGTTTTGAGTAAGTGCTATAGAAGTTGATTGTTTATCTGAACCTCCTAAACTCAAGTTTTAAGTTGCATGTGTGGCGACTAATTCTTCAGATTCTTCGATTTCCTTGCATTTTTGAGCAGTTGCGGATTTAGGGGGGTGGGAGCGGATGCCCCCCGCAGGGATTCGATCCTCTGCCGACCCAAAGGGTCCCCCTTTGTGCTATTTTGAGATATCCGTTTATGGCTGACTGACCTTAAAGTTTTTCTAAATGCGCCTTTGGCGCCAATCTATACTAGTTTTGAGGGTGGAGCGCGCGCCGAAAAAATGCGATTTTTTGGTCGACATTTTCCAAAAAGTGCCTAAAAGCTTTTTGGTTTTTAAAATTTGCCTGCGGTGCAGAAAATTTCGTCAAATAAAGGTCTTTATAGTGGTTTGGGAGAGCTCAGAAACACAATCTGGTCAACCTAAAAAAAGTCGACAAAGCTTTTAAAAAAATTTTGAAAATCCGCCCCGAATTTCACCCCCTCTCGAGAAATTCCTAGATCCGCGCCTGGTTTTTAGCGTACAATAGGGTTTTTTTTTGTTAAATCGCTTTTTTGGATCATCGGATTTTTGATATAATTGGCTTTTTGAAGTCACTGTGATTGATATTTGGATTTCCCCGCCCCTTATTGTACCTACTTAAGAATCACCACCGCTATAAATAAATACAGTAAATTAGCACTGAGCTTTCTATTGAGAACTCAAATTTTGCTGCATTCTGATTGGTGGAAAAATCGACCATTATAATCTACTGAACAATATCCCCCCCTTTCTTGAAAGGGTGGAGATTGTTAAGTAGGTCCTGATGTTTGTCCCTGTAATTGATATTTTATGGGATATATAGTTCAGCAAGATGTCTTTGAGGTATCAAAACGTTGCTTGATCAAATCGTCGCGAGTTTTCGATTAAACTTCAAAAAAAGTGAGGAGTTCGAAACACCGCGGTTTTCTAACACAACATATCTGCCATGATAAAATTATCATTCCTATACAAGCAATTGCAAAATATATTTCCAGTAATCAAAAAGAAACTCAGATCCACTTAACAATCGAATGCCCTCTCTCCACCCCCTGTGGTATCTAAAGAAACTCCACCCCTATAAATAAATACAGTAAAATAGCACCCGAGTTTGTATTGAGAGTTTAAATTTTGCTGTGTTCTGATTGGTAGAAAGATCGACCATTTTTAGCTACGTAACAATCCCCCCCTTTCATGAAGAGGGGAGATTGCTAAGTTGATCCGGAAAATTTGACTTTTAACCGCTCTTTTTCGATAAAAGTTCTGTGTCGGTAAAAATTTTTTTGTCAAAAGCACTGGATAAAGCACTGTCAAAATCATTTTTTTTTTGCGGAACAGTTTTTAGCATAACTTAGATCGGCCTACTATTGCCTCTATTTGCTTAAACTGATGGTTTTAATTTTCTTGGATCATCCGCGTGGCTACGCATTTTTATTTCCAAGTACAAAAAAATACTGAGGGGGAGTGCGCGCCGAAAAAACACAATTTTTTGGTTGAAATTTTCCAAAAAGTGCCTAAAAACACCTTTTTTGATTTTGTTCCGAAAATTTGCCTGCGGCGCAGAAACGTTGGTTAAATTAGGGTCTTTATAGTGGTTTGGTCGTTTGAGAGAGCTCAGAAAACCAATTTGGTCGACCTTAAAAAATGTCGACAAAGTTTCCAAAATTTTTTTTGAAAACGCGCCCCCTTTGAAAAATTCCTAGATCCGAGCCTGTATGATAGTATGAAAATCTGCACGGACTTTTAATTGATTGAGTTCATTCATATAATTGTTGAGCATTATGATCTCTAACAAATTATATTATAAGCAAAAAAAATTGAAACGTGTCCTATAGTTTTTTTTGTATCATTCCACTAGCAAATTATTGAATATAGTGTTATAAACTGAATATTTCTTAACCCAACACGGACAAATAAGTCAAAGTTTTTCATTTTTGCTGCCTAAACTGGTAACACAGTCAGGTCTGTCGTGGCAATAGGAACAAAACATCCTTTCCCTTAGTAGCCGTGATTTTACTCGCATGTTCTCATTGGTTGTTGGTGAGACTACGTGTTTGAATGGCACATGACAAATATGAGAAGAAATTAAACTCAGAACCTCCAGGTCGGAGCTTTGCTTCCGGTAGATAGCAATTTTTTTCACAGCATGTTTTATATATTTTTTCTTATTTTGTTTGATGTTTCCTCGTTTCTGTTTGCGCAGTGCAGCTTCAACTTATATAGGTAATCTTGCCCTCTATGTTACGGCTGCATCTAGCACTTTGTCTACAGGAACCTTGTTTGGCATCCAATTTTTCACTGGACAAATTGATTGCTTGATATATAATCAGTTATAATCATTAAGTTTCTAAATCATTCGATAGCTTGATAATAGCTTATTTATAATCTATTGAAATGCAGTGTCTGATTTGGCACATTCATTTGAATCACTTGTGCCGTCATTAGATGAACATAGATCCTGCGCGAGGGGTTCATATTTCCATTTCTAAGCAAAGTTAAAGATTTTCAAACAAGAATTTTTGAGTTGATTACTTTTTTCAATTTTTTTTGTGAAACTTCCACCATGTTTAATAAATATTTCCCCTCAGTTTCATTGGAAATAGTACAAAAAAGTATTCACTTGAAAGTATTCAAAGCTGATTTTGAATTAAATGTTATCATTGTTAAATTTAATCGAGAAAATTACATGGAACTTTGGAGCTCCCTCGTTATTTTTCTATAGGGAAAATGAGTTGATACAACATTCAATGAATTTTTTTCCTTGATAGTTATTTTCAGCAATTTTTAATGAATGAATGCGTGAATTCATTTTAAACTATTTGTCAGATTTTTTTCTGTGCTGTTTGCAATGATTGCGATGGTTTCCTTCAACTGCGGTGAAAAAATAATTTATCGTATTTTTTTTTCAGTTTTATTGTTTATTACACTTGCGAAGCGAGTGTATTAGTACAAAACTTATTTTTTTTCCAGTCCAAGTCGCAAATAAAAATGCTCATTTGGTGGCACTCTAAGTATATTTTAATTTAATCATATTTTAGTCTTATCTAAGCATGAACAATTTAATGGAATATGTTACTGCTTTGTTTTTGGCTATGTTAGGTGCTATTTAAATAATCCTGTAATATGAAAATGTATGTGATTTGCCGTTTTTTTGTTTTGTTTTGCAACAATTTGGAATTGTTTTTGCACTTTCCGCAGAAATTTCATTTTTTCTCAAAAATCTCAAAAACTACTGGGCCGATTTTAAATTAAATGGTATCAATGGAAAATTCGGCTGCCGTTCTTTGTGCCATATTTCGATAGTCTCTTTTGATTTTACCTCACGTTCTACGGCCTTCGAAATTTTCAGCAGGGGGATTTTTGGCCTACTTTTTTTTTGAAATTTTTCATGGTCTCAAATACTAAGTGCACAAATCAGAGTTGAATGTTACAATAAAAGAAATAATGGGATATCCCCTTGTCTCCCCTATTCTATTACCTATATTCGGTAGAAAAAATTTATGGCCTCAAACAAGCTCATTGTTTGACATTTTGGTTAATTTTTAAACCTTTCGTTTTTTTTCTCAAAAACTTCCCTGCAAAATCAGATATTAGGAATTTAACTGAAAATTAAAACCAGTAATGCGAATCGTATTTGGCCAAGCGACTATGCCCTGCCTTTTAAGAGATTATGGAGTATGGATTTAGAAAATGTCTAATTTTTGAAACTTTGACCGTTTTTAAGAAACTTATTTTATTTTTTAAAAACTAACCTGTTGAATCTGAGGTTGATAGTTCATTAAAATAAAAAGGCGCTTGGATTTTGCCTGTCTAATCTGCTTTGACCTGTTTTTCAAATTAAAAAAGCTGTTATGGAATATGGAAATCAGAAAAATTTAATTTCAAAGTTTCAACTTTTTTTGAAGAAATTTTGTCACTATTTTTGAAATCTGCTGGCTAAATTTGATTTAAAGACTCAATCTACAAAATCAGGATGCGGAAATCTTCAATCTAGAACTCCTATTCCTATGCTGTAGTAGAGAAAAATTCATGGATATAGGGAAAGTTGAATTTTTCCGGCTTCACATTGGCAGTTCATAGAAGCATCGCCTCTGGGGTTTGATATCTAAGCGATGTGATTCATTCGCTGACTTTTTCAGCATCACCATCATCATCTGCTAAATTATGTTTATTTTTTCTACAGCAAAAAGTAACTTGACTCATTGTTTCAACTTTCTTTTCAAGTTTTTACTTGATCTTCTATTTAGTCGCAAATAGTAAAATTTTAATACACTCAATTGATTTAGTACCTACCAGGTAACAAAAACATTGGGGTTACTGAACCATAAATGAATCTATAATTCTCACATTTACCTTATAGTTAATTATTGTAATATTGTTTAGAAGCCAGCCTTGATTGAATTGAACTTATTTGTTGATTGGTACAGTTGAATCATATAACATGTATTCTTCAACCTCCGCTATCCATTAACAAAATTACAAGTTATCGAAAAAAAAAACAATTCTTTTGTTACTGAAAAAATAATTAGCATTACATATGAGGTAATTAGTTACGGATACCGAAGTTGCTAGAAGACATCAAAGTACAAAGTAAGAGCTCCTTTCAGGCGGCAATTAAAGACAGTATATCAAGAACAGGAAACTTAGTGGTAGTTCGAAGCAACAAAAAATGTGAGGACGGGAAAAAAGGCAAACCTCAAAAACACATTCCAAATTTTAAAAAAGAAACAAATATTTATGAAAAAATGGAAATCTGGTTATAAACGCAATGTTAGTTCAGATGAGCTAAGAAAACTTGCGATTTTAAGGTTTGCGATCGATCAAGTTGGTATGTTTGCGGAAGAGAGACTGTATTGGATCAAAATCATTTCTAATTAGTTTTGAGTCTTTTATAATATTTTTTGTTTGACAAAAACTTGGCTAACTGAAAGTACGTTGGAACCAGCATACAGCCAAACAA